AAACCCCCAAACATAGGTTGCATAATGCTTTATTAACACTAAACTTTCTTAATGCCAATGAAAAAAGACAAACAACTGCAGAAAGACACTGGACTACGGAAAAAACTGCTGAACTCAATCAGCCAGTATACTTCAAAGATGTACTAGCCTCTGTATAGAAACCAGCACATGTGTTACGATGGGGTAAGGGTTTTGCATTGGTTTCCACAGGAGAAGAAAACGTTGGATACTATCAAAGTTGACCAAGATTCGAGTTGAAAAGGAAAAGCCTCTCGACGACGAGGAGAAATGACAGGTATTCTACTAAGGTATATCTTATAAACTAAATAGAAGCCTCCCAAAGGAAAGGGAAGTGTTTTGCTTTTATCTTCACAGGAAAACTCATCTCCAGAAGGCAAAGGACACTGCATGGGTAGATACTTAAGAAGAGAATGTAGCTATAACCATCAAACAAAAGGAATGTGCCGTACGGTAAACTTTACAGCTGTTTCTCAGAGAACTCTATTTCTCTTTTCCAGTCCCTATTCAGTTAAACCAATGCTGGATTTAGAGGTGGATTTGGCTTTCCTTCTCTAAAATCCAAGCACGTTATTTAACTAAACTTAGAGTGTCTGTGTTGTATCAAGAAGCCAATTGATGTAATACAGAATAAAAAAGAATTTAGGGGACTGTCTTTTTCTTTTCTTGGATCTTTCTTTCAAGGTGTACATCCTCTCATAATTGTTATTATCCCCTGGTTGCCTTTCCCAGTATGTGTACATCACAAGCAAACATTTCTCTGCTGTTTATGTTTGAGTCCCACAAAGCCAATGAAGACCTCCCTGACAGCAATCCCTGGACACTCTGGAAAGAAAATGAGCCACACCTACTTGACTGCACTGGATCCAACTTGCTCCATTTCAACCGACACTGCCGCCAGAGCTTCGCTGGTACTGATTTTAATCAAGTTGAGGATTTCAAGGGGGGGGTCTTCAAACAAGCAAATCCCATCTAACATGGACTGGATACAATTCATTCAAGACTTTTACTATACTAACATTTTCTCCCTACAGGACCCCATAAGGATGTCATCATCCCATTTCAGCAGGAAGTAACTTGGAGGATGCTGCGCCCCCCT